TGAGGCATAAAATGTTAGAGCGGAGGCTTGGGAACGAGACGGGCGTGCGTAATTACCCGTCGAGAATGTGGTCGAGTCCTGCGGCCGGGCAGCCTCCGACCGCGTCTAAACTAGGAATAAAGTGCTCATGTCGTAACCTTAACTCGTTAATTACGCCCAGAAACTAAGTTCACATGTTGCTGAATCTACAGTGAGCAATGAAAAGCTAAAATTAACTTGACTCTAATAAATGACTATTTTGGTCGAAACTAGCTTTAAATACCGTTTTGCTTAATATAAAATTAAAAATGCAATCTGAAAGATATGTTGATTAATTTTAAAGTGCCTTATTATTCACGTATTATACTTATTACAAGATAGCTCCTTCAGTGATCACGTACTCGCACTTATTTCGAGTTTATTCTTAAAAGAACGTTGGCTGAACAAAGAGTGTTGAAGTGCTCGGCTCCTCGGGGCATCTATTAAACAGACAGGAATCGTTTCCCACAGCCCGCTCTCGGCTCGTCACGGAATCAATATCGTCTTTTATTTTATGAAACGTGCTCCACATACACACACAAGCACATGTTACCGTACAAGTACCTATCCCTGCCGCGCGCCGTCTAGAGCCGTAAGGCACGAGACTAAGTGAACAAATATGAAGAAGATTCCGATAATTAAAGCGAAAATTCTTCTCAGTAGAGCGTGTTTATTCTCTCTGCCTCCTAAATCTTGGAACGTTTAATTAAAGTCTTCTTTCTAACTTGATATTAGTTTTCCATTAAGTTAATTAGCTAAGGCGATTCTTAATGGAAACACTCTTATTTGTTAATGTCCTTGGAATTCTTAACAAAAGTCCTTATATTATAATATGTACAATACTATTGGCTAATGTTTAAATATGTTAAATAAAAATCTTTAAATATTTATTAGCGGATTTGTTTTGATTTATAATTCCCGAGGTTTCGAATGTTTTACAGTATTCATGGTCACGGAAAACTACTCACTAAAGCTTATGACAAAAAATATAGATTTCTATCTGTGAACTAATTTTATTCACCCAAATTCGTCCAGCCGTTTCAACATGAAGAAATAACAGACATACACACACGTACATTCACATACACACAAACTTTCGCATACATATTAGTAATAGCATAAGTATCCGGTAAGTCTTCTTAAATAGCACTAATACAGTAAAGACACCGCACATGTCAAGTGTGTAGCAATTCATTGACATTTTTACGAGAAGAAACTTCAAACCTTTACGCCAATTAAAATAGTTCACCATTTTTTGTGGCGCTGCGAGACGGATGCTGGGTAACATTTGGGTCAGGAGCGAAGATTAATTAGGTTCAAACTAAGAAGCGCCTTGTTAATGTAAGTGTAAATATACTGAGTAAAATGTGTTTATTAGACTACAACAGCTCTCACACTGGCTGAGCAGATCTTTAAATGTAAACAATGCTGTGTTAATTGCTGCAGTATTATTGTGCAGTACTGAATCGCCAGTGAGCTAGAATTATTTACAGACAATAACACAACTATAAACGTCCCTTGATACCTGTCTAAATAGTTCTACCGTGAAGTAAAACAACCGTCAATAACTACTACTTTAATTAACTTAACGCTATTTATAATTATCATAAGCTTATAAAAAGCTTTTCTACTTACACTTGCCGTTATCAAGAATAATGAATGGCAGTTATAAGGTTTTTGATTAGTTCTGTTTATAGACTATATATTTTTCCATATAAAGACCAAAATGTATTTAGAATATGTTTTGATACGCGGAACAAAACACAAATGACACTCTCTAAGCCTTTATGTAGGTTGAGATTGGGTTGGCATAGCAAATTTAATTTCAAACGCCGCTCAAATTGTAATCATGGCTGAAACATAAACAACTCTACTGCTAGTATACATATAAGCTCGAATAGGTTTTATTAATAAAAAAATAGGTAAAATGTAGTAAAAATAGGCTTTTTATTAGCCAAAAGCTAACTAGTAATCTTGAAGATTATTATATCACTTTATGAAGATTCAAGGTTTTGGAAAGAAAGAAGAAGAAAGAGGAAGAAGAAACAACAACATGTCTTCCTTTTCTTGCATCTTTTTGTTCTCTTTTTTTAGAGATCCGAGAGAGAGAGAGATAGATGTGATCTATACAAACATTAAATGTATGCAGATATCCTGCGTCTCTAAGTCACAAATATTCATAGAAAACCACTTTAATAATACTTTCTTAGATTTACGCGAATATTTGACATTTTAAATAAAACTATCTTTTCGGATTTTGTCGCGTTTTATGTACCAAATCTCTGACAGGTGTTTTATAGGTTGTCTGTAGAAACAGATCTCGCTACAACCTATAAAGTATCTTTTTTGTGTAAAACAATAACATACTAACAAACGGACTTTAACATTTATAATAATTCAGCCCCTTTAATGTTCCACTGCTGGGCATGGCCTCCACTCAATGCGAGGGAATCAGGTTATATATACATACCAGCGATCACCCTCGCTTCGCTCGGGTTCGTCCCTAGCTAGATATCCCATACAAACTTTCATCCCCATTTCACCCCCTTAAGGGATGATTTCCGGGATAAAAATTTAAATTCAAATTTCATCTAAATCGGTACAGTAGACCCAGAAATTACCCCCTACAACGTTACAAACTCGCAAATATTACCTCTTTATAATATTAGTATCTTCTGTTCTTAAGTTCTCTTCAAGAACCATTTACGTTCTCTTATACTCACAAGTCTCATCACGATGCTTTCCTTCATTGTAATTTGTATTAGTACTCATTTTGTAATCATCGTGAAATTGCGAGACTGGGGTTTGAACCCACATCCCTTGGTTTTCAAAGCGAATGCTACCTCTTCTTATTTATTACTTTTTTACTTACTCGTTTTACTTGATATAAAACAAAACCGTATACATATATTAAAATCGTTAATCACTTGAAACCCGTATAAACGTGCCACAGAACACACTTCACGTACCGTACATATAGCGGTGGCAAGTTCAAGACCGAGCACATCGGGTCAAGCATGCGTCTATCTACAAGTATGTGATGGGAACAGTCTTGCTTCCTGCTTGCCATATAAGAGCAGACTCAGCTCCGTATAACATTGATCTCTTCCAGAACTCACAGCGGCATAAAACATGCATACTTGGCGCATGATTGCCTACAAACAAATAAATAAATAATTATCAAAACAATAAGTACTGTTACTACTATAACTTCTGATAATTTAACTATTGTTATAGCTAAAATATTAACTAGTAAATATCTTATCTTTCAATATATTATTAAATAAAGTTTATATAATAAAATACACAACTGTTTCAAAACACAAACGACTTATGGGAAAAGTTTTAAAGTGATTCAATTTTGATTTCCTTAAAAAGATGTCCAAATCGAGTGTCCTCCTAACTCGAAGGAAATTTACTTCGTACCATCTCGACAAGTAGCGCTCCGGGGACCGAACAAAGTTCAGTCGCGAGGGCTTTAAATTCCCTAATGTTTGTCAAAACATACTTAAACCTGTCACGAAGCGCTTAAATCAATTTGTTATACAGGTACAAAAGTTGGGATATATGTAGGTATGTACTTTTTTACTTTTCTACCCTACTCCCTATGTGATGTATTTATTCCAAATAAACATTCAAGTTATAAACATGCAAAACTTGCGTTCGATGCTTCTTCAAAAAAGCCATATGTAAAACTCCAGAGCTTTTTTATATTGCCATTCTTATCCTTGTGGGATAATTCGGGTCCATAGGGCAGGTTTTACATAATTTTGTGGCAACCCTTTGCGCTAGGAATGCGGAGTTTGTGTGAATTTTTATCGGTCACAGAGAAACGGCGAATTAAATTAACAAACATTCGATAAATCACGAGCGCTTATTACAATTTTTGCGATCGTAAATATATTTTGGAAAAGGGTAACGAGTTTTGAAAACAAATATTTCAATGAGCAAAAGGGTAACGGGTGCACGCCTGTCGTATTTGTCATGAACAATGTGTGGGGGTAATTGTTTGACATGCAAAGCGCCGAGATCAACAGCCGCCACTCCAGTAAGAGGGAACATTGGGAGTGATATACAATCTCGTACCCACACTACCCTACTTACAGCTTGCATCAAATATGAATTCGCCATTTGCTCTGAGATAAACAGTAGCATTTCATCCCTACTTTGTATTTATAAAACATAAAGCCTATTTATCTGTCTCGTATTCAGGAGATGTTGTAAAGACTTGAAACACTCTTCGTTCGAAGTTCACGTATTCATCATAAGCGTAATAAACGCGAAATGAAGTACTTGTTGAACGTCATTCGGTATATATTCGATATATATACGATATCTAATCGCAATAAAAAAAATATTTATTACTTAAATTTATTATTCTCATCAAACGTCATTTTTTATATTATAAAATGCCTATAGTGTAAATGAATGTACCCCAAAATCGTTTTGTTCACACTTTACACAATGCATATTCTTTGAAATAAATTTAACCGCATCACGTCATGTTGAACACGGGTAGAGCGGGTCGCGCTTTTCATTCGGTTGCGTCAGGTCTATTACTTACAATATGCCATCTTTCGTATGGTCCGCATTTTTTGTTCGATCACCTAATAATTCGTCGAGCTTTTATGGCACCTCGGCGCGAGCGCAAAAACTACAAAAGCTTTAGGCAAGGGTCGGGCGGCTACACGGCGGGGCCCGCAGTCGGCCGTACACACCCGCCGAGTCTGGTTGCGTCGGCTTATTTCGTAGCATAGACATTGAAAAAAACACCGCTTATTACGTTTATTTACAGAAAAAAGTATTTTGCATAAATAATAATGTCAAGCATCATAAGTAAATAAAGTCAAAGTGAAAACGAAAGTTTATAATGTCAATGAACGATTCAAACGATAATGCAGCGATGTAAGTGATGTATATCGATAGTGATGTTGTGTTCGAAGACCAAAATATAGTTGTGCAGTGAACTGTTTATCGGTAAAATGACGATGCAATCGCTGAAATACAGCGAGCGGGAGGATATGATGGAGGGTTTCAGTCCGGTACCTCCTCCGCTCCCGCGGCGCCAGCCAGTCAGGAACATCTACGCGGAACCCTTCGTAGACCCTAGGTAAGTTTTTATGAACAGTTTATACATTTAATTAGGTACATGCAAGCTATTTTTTTAATCATTATATAGTTATTGCTATTGCTATAACCTCAATCATCACTGGTAAGTAAAATGGGCACAGATTAGCATATTTTATCTTTCTTGCTTTATAGATGTACAATGTAGGAATATAGTTATATGTAGTTCCATTTTTACATATTACTTTCACAGATTATACATACTCATTGATAACAACCTGATTTCTGTCTGAAATCTGTTATAATTGCTGAAATCTCATATAAAAGACTACTATCCTTATCTTAACTAGACTAACTATGTAATTAAACCAAGAAAATTACGTTTTTTTTTAATATAAAAATATATAAAAGTATAACAGTATTTGTAAGCTATAAAAAAATCGCATAAAAATCCGATCAAATAAAGGAAATATCCTATTTGATTGACTAGTTGAATCAATTTACTGCACTTGTTTACTTTCGAACCCCAACGCTCTACCTTCCCCTTGTAGTTGTACCCACTTGATGTGGCTTTCCAAAGTAATAATAAACTGCCTGAAGCCAGAGAGCATTTATTTCATATAGTACGACTGTATAAACACGACGCGGAAACCCCACAATACTCTAAAGACCACATAAAGTTATTAAAGTAAGGCTTTACACGAAACTAATTCCGAGGCACTTATTCGGTATGACCTGTGGGAGCTCCGAGGTAAACACAATGGAAAAGTCTCAAGGTTTTGTTTCCCTAAATTATTAACATAAAACTTTAAATGATTGTTATTTATGCACATGAATACAATGTCTGAACCAATTTTTTTTATAAAATATTTTCGTGTCATTTTTTGCAACGAACTTTAGTTATCATTTTGAAATGTGCATAGTTTTTGTATGTTTACGAGATACTAGCTTAAATCATATTATACATATTCATATCTATGTTAATGGTCCACAAAACGCTGTCGCGGCGGATATGCAGTTAGTTATATACGTTATTTTACGTCGTAAATCATATTTTTATACTTGTCGCACGTTCTGGCGACAGCAAATAGCACAGAGAAGCTGTTATCACCATCTGCGACAGCAGAATTGCTGCTCTGCTTAATTTCCTACATCCAGAACGATATCTGAAATACTATAATTACATAAAAACTAAATTATTTATTTACCATTAGACAAACTTTTACTAAAATAAATTAAAGACATAAAAGCTCACTTCTCTCGTTCAGTCTAAAAATAATAAAATTTCAAAAAATACCAACAAATTAAGATTCAAAAAGCTTATGCAGAACATTTGATTGTTAGCTTTTACTTTCAAATGCAAGGGAAAATAAATTAAACAACATTCTTTGAAACTTATGCAAAGTAATGAGATTTATATTCGTTTGCTACTATAAAGAAACGATGTTTCGTATTTTGAATATATAACAATAGCAACTTTACAACTATAAGATGGAAATAGCCTTAAGAATATGTTTAGAAAAAGTAATAATTTATTATTAGCTGATGTAATGACAGTAATTTGACATGGTAGAGTGATGATCGATAACGGAAATTGTGTTTGAGGTCGTATTCCCTGTGTGAAGAATGTAATTTTCCTTACAATGTGTTAACAAGGTCTGAATACAAGCTCAAAGCATGTGACGGTTAAGTGCACGCAACAATAGCGGACAGATAGCATCGAGGGTGCCCCTCGAGCCGTTTCTAACGAAGCGAATTCGTCTTGCAATGTTTTTGTCTCTGACAATTTATATTACAATTAAAACATATTCTATTAAGAATAAGGAATTTTAATATTTACAATTAATCAAAACAAATCACATCATTCTATTTTCCACTACATAAACAAAATATCCATAACGTACGATATTTAGGTATTAAAATTTATGCATGAGTTAATCCTTATCGAGCTTCAAAGACACTATCAAAATTCTCAGAGTTCGTCATCAAATATTTGCTAGTTCGAACGGAAGTTCATCCAAGCAAGAAATCATTTCCATAGATCCCGGACAGCGCAAACACCGTTCACACATCAAAGTCCAATACAAACCTCAAACTTAGTTAATAGCGTTTAGCTGAACGTTCGCTACACAAACGCTTCCTTCTGTTTGATTTGTTCGAACATTCAAATGCTGCCCGTAACCTAATTAAAGTAGTTGGTCGATGAACATTATATAGATAATATGTAATCTATCTATTCCATACTAAATCTTACTAGGGACGAACCCAGGCAAAGTGAGGGTGTGTTGCTAGTATAGTTATAAATAATATTATTATTTTAAACCATTGTGGTTTATTTTTATTCGAATACTTTGAACTTTGATTCCGAGTTATACTTGAACTGTAAAGAAACGTTATCTGAGAGTACAGTGATATATTGTTTTGAAGTCTCAGACCGCCTCTTATTAATAGATCGAATAATTAGAGGAAACGCCTCATCAAAACGTACCGTGTGTCCCGATTGCGCGGCATTATATGAAAGGGGCACTTGGAGAGCCACGCACTAACCACCAATACAACTCGTCCAGGAAATTCAATTATCTTCTTTCAACGTTAATACATTATATCGACACAATCATTTCATTAAATTGAATCTTAGTGCTTCAATCGGTCATAATTGATCTGGTTAAATAAGCCAATTACATGACATCACGTACATCTGGTATCTATCTCTCGAAATTAAAACTAAAACTTTAATCGAACTTTAATCTTAACGGAGTAAATGAATACGAAAAATTATTTCGATTAGTGTTTATAGATGTGTTATTTAATAGTATGCATTCAACAGTATATAGGACGGAGGTTAATCCAAATTTAGCTATAACAATTCCACTGTCACGAACTTGGATGTAAATCTAACAAGAAGACATTTATCGACAAGCGCTCCCACTGAGTACCAGTATTATATATGTAAAAAGTTACTGTCACCAACAATCCTTAATGCTTATCTCTGACAGATTTTACAAACAAACCATTTTTATTTTGAATAATTTATTCGGCGAGTCAAGGCTTAGAATACAATGATGCAGCCATAATAGTTACCTTTTTGAATACGAGATGTCCATTGTCTCCTTACAATATTGATTGACTCGGTTGTTTCAATCCTTTGTAGATAAATATTGTAATCCTGGAGAGGGTGATAGCAAAGATGTTTATCTTTCATATCTATTTTAAAAGTAACAAGCATTTTTTTTCTATAGTGGGGATTAATTGTTAGGCTATTTTTGTGACCTATTCTTGATCTAAACATATAATAAAATTGTAACTAAGCCGAATCTGTACATTAAATATTTTTTGGAATATCTTATTGAAACAAACATTATTTTCGATACAGAAGCCGCATCTATAGTTTTTAGAATTTTTGTCTGTCTGTCTGTTTCCGCATCACAGAAAAACCACTGGAGGGATTTTGATGGAATTTGGTATGGTGATAGCTGGTTATCCGGGTCAACATATAGGATACTTTTTCTCCCGGGAAAATGTCTCATTTCTGAGAAAAAATACAAAAACTGCAATGTCAGCGTATATTAATATGTAAAACCTAAAAATTTGGTTTTTGGTCATCTGAACGCGGGCGGGGCCGCGGGCAATGCTAGTTTATAATAAAGTTATAAATACAGTAAACCATGCTTCGTTATTTTATAAGCATTTTGAATCAGTGACAGTGACATAAACTGTATCGATATTATCTGTCTAGTCAAGGGGATATATCGCCGCTGGTTATATCAAGAGCTACTGATCAGGGGTATTTTAGTCTAACCCGTTTTGAGAATAATAAATTGTCGTCACGTTCTAACGTATAACATATAATATATAACACACGTATGTTTAAAATAGTTTAGCCATGTTCATATAATAAAAACTCTGATTTAAGTAATCTATACATATAATAAAATTCTAACTAAGCCGAATCTGTACATTAAATATTTTTTGGAAAATTTTATTGCAATAAACATTATTATCGAAACAGAGGCCGAATCTATAGTTTTTAGAATTTTTGTCTGTCTGTCTGTCTGTCTGTCTGTTACCGCATCACGGAAAAACCACTGGAAGGATTTTGATGAAATTTGGTATGATGGTAGCTGGTTATCCGGGTCAACGTATAGAATACTTTTTACTGCAGGAAAATATCTCATTTCTGAAAAAAGATACAAAACTGCAATGTAAGAGTATACTAATATGTAAAACTTAAGAATTTGGTTTTTGGTCATCTGAACGTGAGCGGAGCCACGGGCAATGCTAGTATAGTAAATACGTTTTCAAACGACTAATTTACTTTGAGTATAAATAACATTAATTTGAATAGAAAACCAACTTATTTTATTATTATAATATACTTTAACATAGTAACAGGTTATCAGGTAAGTTTTTACAAGAAACATAGGAATTTACAATTGAAAGTTTAAACTTGAATTTTAGATTGAACTACATATATTTGGTGAGAGTTAGTCATCAAACAGACCACACAGGATGACTCCATTTTTGTCTAAGTTCAACCCGAAAGATAACAAACGTGCAACGCACCGCTCTCTGCTACACTTATCTAAACACTTACCACACACCATATACAAACAAAGCTGCGCCCTAACTCACTTTTTACCACGAAACGCCTTTTCTTTTTACCCTTTAGGACTTCGCGGTACTGCAAGCTTTGCGTGTTGAATGCCTTTGTTTATGCCCGGAAATTCATGCATTTTACCGCAATATACGGTTAAAGGAAGATCCATAAGCTAGCGGCGGAATGTCTTTTCGGTTCATTTACGATACAAGAGCACTTTACCCATAAAATGAGAAGTGAAATATATATAGAGTGCCACTAGGTCAGTAATAAACCGAACCGTTAAAACGAAGCGACACATTACGGTCAAAGATAATGTCGATGAACAAAAAAACTTCTAAGACAAGTGCCTAAGAAAACAAGGTGCAGACGATCCTTTCTAATAAACGTTTTGGTCTTGTCCAAGGTACACGTCATCGGGCGTGACTAACGAATGGCTCGCACTA